GCTTATCAAAGACACTGAAGTCAGCTGCCCTTAAGGGGAATTCATCAGCCAGCTGCTTTTTATTCCCCAACCACTGCCTTTTTATTAAAGAGAGAAAAATTTCAGACTGTGTTATCTGCATTCAGACTCAAGTTGCATTTCACGGACAACGGTTGTATTCTTGTCTTGTAACTAAGGGGCCCGTCTTGGACATCTTCTCCCAAATAAAGGCGGGTGGAGTGTCAGGCAATCAAGACTATAACCTAGAAAATGAATGTGCAGGCAACTCCCCACAGGCTATTTTCTAAACGAGATTTAGAAAAATGTGGAGTCTCTCTTAGCTGGGCCCTCTGTTATATCCTTCCTATGTTACACACACACACACACACACACACTCTTATACACTTTCCTATAGTAACTGGGCCCAGAGCAGTAACTGTTTTCAGAGAAATTGCATGTACTCTTCATCTTATTTGAAGTCTCCTCTCCTGTCTCTCCTGAGTGCATGTGCAGGTCTGGCTGAGGCCCGCTCTCTCCGGTTCTAGGAGTTTCTTGGCACTCAAGATCAGTTTCTCATGTTTGACTTGAGGGAAATATTTTAGGAGGAAAAGGACAACCTAGCAAACAGCCAGAAGTGCTTGGAGATCACTGTCTGAAGTCTTAATAAAAGTTCATTAGTTTCAAACAAACATGGCTCAAAGCTGAAGTCATCCCAAAGAGATAACATTTGGAGAGCATAAAGGAGGAGGGGGATAACAACTAGAAATCGTTCTTTCAATTTTAACAAACCAGGAATGCCACCCAGCCTAAAAGCCTAAGCTAATGTTGGTTAAGATCGGGTCACCTCCTCCACCCCTAGTTTCTATTATCCATTTGGCAGTAGCTCTGTTCATTTCCTCCTATGGGCCGGACACTGCATTACATGCTGGGAGACAGCGGAGGGCAAGAGCCCTTGGGATTTACAGCCGGGTAACTGAGGGAGGCCGCTGCCGGTGAGCCCCTCGGCTCTCCGGGCCGTCAGCTCAGGCCTGACCGCACCAACCCTGCTACTAGGCCCCATCCCCGGAGGGAGCTTCTCTGGACCTGCTACCCCCGGAACCACCAGGCCTGGAAATGAACGTTCCCACTAGGCCGATCCCTGAATATCAGCCAGGGCCACAGGCCCAGGGCCTCAAGGAGAGGCGGCCCCATCTGGAAGGAGCCATGTTCTAGACCCAGGCCCCTTCCCTCAGATGGGAGGCATTTTCATTTCCTTCGATCACCTTCTCGGCTCACCTCCTGCGTCTTCAGCACAGGGCTTTACTAATGCAGGGCTGTGACCGGCTCTAAGAGGACCCCACAGATGGTGGGGAAGGGTAGGGAGCCCGCTGGGCTGTGCTGAGCACCCTGCGTGGGCTCAAAGAGTTCGGGTGATGGGGAAGCCCAGCGGGAAGGATGGCAGGAGGGCCTGTGCCAGCTGGGGGCCGTCTTCAGGCCTGGAGCACCAGGTGGGGCCATGGCAGAGCATAGCCTGCAGCCAGTGCACAGAGGTTTTATTTTTATTTCATGGATGGAAAGGAAATTTGAGACTTAAGATTTATGAGAATTATAAGCAAGTCTGTCTGTAGGTGTGGTAACAAAAAATTCTGTTAGTCAATTCACATAGCTTTTTATTGTCACAGAAAGTAGGTCTTCCTTAGTAGAAAATAAAAAAAATAAAGATTAAGAAGATAAAAATCATTCATAATCCTATCACCAAGGGATCATTACTGTGGACACATCTCCAGCATTTTTCAAATCATTTTTTTTCAAAATAGGTTCTGTTCTGCATATGATTTTGTAACCTGCGATTATTTAGCAGCTATATACTGAGAACATCTTGTCATGTCTCTTGTGGTCTCTGGTGACATCTCTTTGGTAGTTACACTGTATCTTCTCTGCTGTGGACACAGTACAGTCGTTCACCATGATCTCTCTCTGTGGGACTTCGAGGTTGTTTCTTGCTCGTCTTCATTACAAAGAACTGTCTACTTTTAATCTGCGAAGTCCCTGCTTGTGTACTTCAAACTAAGACCTGGCCCCACGGAGGGCAGAGCTTCCGGATGAAGAAGAGGCCGTTTGCGGGAGCCGGGGGTCTGGCACCCACTCTTTGTTCTTCCTTTCCTGTCTGACTGATCAGCTGAACCATTTCTGCCTCAGTTTCTGCTCTGGGAAAGCGGCGATCATAGCCTCAGACCTTCCATGACCCCTCCTCCGACTTTCAGGAGCCCACAGGGAGAGGGTGGCTGAGCGACGCGGAAGCAAAGTCCCAGGGAGCCTCAGGATGGAGGGCTGGTCCCCCTCTGCTGCACAGGCAGCGGCCTTTACAGCTTCCCTGTTCTTTCTCCACGCCCTCTGGCCCTGCTTCCGCCCGAATTGGGAGTCCAAAGCACTGGCTCACCAGGTCTTATTTTATTGAGAGAGGGTGCTTCTTGCCCCTTAGTAACCCTGGCCACAGCCACAACCACAGCTCGGTTTTCCTCCACCCCGAGGCCCCGCTCTGTCCCAGCCCAGAAGATAAAGTGACCGACTGCAGTGTTGCATGCCGGAGCCACAAGGACTGTAAAGGTGGTTGGTCCGCTGCCCTTCCCCCCGTGTCTTAGAAGGACAGAGATCTGACTAATGTCATTGGGTTTGCCACAGAGCAGGACAACACCCAGTGCCAGGAGGCCATGTGGTCAGGTGATTCATCACTGTGTTTTTGGGGACAGGCTGCCTGGATGGATGGCCCCGCATTCCACCCTTTGGAGCTGTGTGACCTCGGGCAATTTCCTTAACATCCCTGTTCTAGTTTCCTTATCGAAATGGGGATGGTTCTCATCATGCTCACTTCACGGGGTTGTTGTCAATGAGATAACACATGAAGTGGGCCTGTACATTGGGTTTCCCTAGGGACACGAGCGAGTTTAGTGTGATAACAAAGGTGGTTTTTGTTGGGGCATCACCCTGTCCACCTGCTGCTTGTGCTGTAACCCCAGCCCTTCACCAGCAGCTGACACTGGGATTACTCTGCAAATGGACTCGACTCTAAGTAGCTTTGCATCTGGGATGCCCACAAATTAACCTGCTCCCTCCACCGCCTCCTGCTAACCGCCAACCCAACAGCGTTGGTGTGGAGAGAGCGGAACGCGCTGCCTGTGGTCTGAGGTGGAAATGTAGCCACAGCGCCAGTGAAAATGAGCAGGGTGGTACAACCTGAGGGTCCCAGCGGGGCACAAGGTTTAGAGGGACATTAGCACAGACGGGCCCCTTTTCTTCTTAACAGATCCCTCAGCTTATATGCAGCCATCCCACCAAATTTCTTTTCTCGCACATGTTTAAATTTTTCCCAGAATTAAAAATATTTAGGACTTTTAAAAACATGGATTTAATTTCTTAAGGCCTGTAATCCTGATTGCATAAAGAGAGAAATCCCAGTAAGATTATCCATCTATCATCCATCTATCTATCTACCTATCTATCTATCTTTATCTATCTATCTATCTATCTATCTATCTATCTATCTATCTATCTATCTATCTATCCATCTATCCATCTATCTTTCATCATCATCTAACTATTTTTTTAAATCATGCCAGCTCGAGTTAATGTCCATTTTCAGCCTCACTGTGTGGCTGACCCATGATGCCAGACACACGTGACGTCAGGACAGGCTGGCGGCGCAGGCGGGGAGGTGGCACATGCAGCCCACAAGCACCAGCGTCCTGGACTCTCACCGAGTCGGGCAGCAGGGCTGCTTTTCGGGGACCAGTTTTCACTTTTCCTTTTTCAGCCACGCCTTTTACTTATTTTATAAGATTTGGGGGATATTTTTCATGACTCAAGGAGATCTATTTTATTTATCTGAAGGGACATTTTAAAGGGAAGGCTGGTCTGGCATCTCGGACCGCTCAAGGCGCTCAGCCGAGCGGGATGCGGATGCAGGACGGCGCCCGAGGCCCGGGCTGACCATAGCTGTAGCTGAGGCAGTGGCAGAGACGCCCGCCGACCGCGGTCGTCCCCGGGGCCCCGACCCATCCTCCTTCTCCTTTAATGAAACCAGTGTAGATTAAATGGACAAATAAAAAATGACCAAACTCGATCTTTCCTACGCAAAGCAAAACAGCCCATAAATTAGACGATTAAATGAACAAAAGTAGTGAATTTACTTCTTGCTCAGCAGGTACAATGTTTTGACTTCAAAAAATTTTAATTTTTTCCTGTTTGTAAATCCAAGAGAGAGATTTCTTATGTCTTTTGAATGTGACACTGCCTGTATATATTAAGAAAAACCTGAAGCTGTAATTTCAATTTTTTCACTCTTGGTAACTGTCCGAATTGTGGCATAAGCCTCGATCAGCCCTGGGTGGTGTTTAGTCCCGGCAGAGTTTGCTTGCTGCTCATCCCCAGGGGGGAGCCTGTGGGTGGCCACATATTTGTTCAATGGGTGTTTCATCTTGTTAGAAATACTTGGGAACAATACGCCAGGGTGGGTTGAATGGAACCGCCAATGGCAGTCTTGTTCCACTTCACAAAAACAAGGAGAAGAAAAAGTCCCTTTAACAGAGTAAATTGATTTGCTACAGAGAACACGCTGGGGTGTGGGGGGTGAATAGGGGCGCTTTTCCTGCGTGAGCGCATTCCACCCCATGCAGCCCCGGCCATGTTCACATGTGCGGAAATGTTTCTGCACTTAACACACAGATGTGGAGCCCAAGTCGGGGCCCCGTGTCGGTGAACTGACCACATGTGTGGTATGCAGCATGGCGTGAATGTGCCCGAGCATGGTGTGTCCGCCTGTGTAGGCACACGCCTCTGGCAAACACAGAGTCGCTCCCGAACAGTGATGTCATTGGAATACTTTACTTCTTTCTGTTTTATTTGTCCAAAGTCAGGCATTCACTCCTTCAGATTAGCGGTATCTTAGCAGCTGGGTGCTGGCCCCCGCTGCTGCAGGACTGGGACAAAGAGATGCTGTTCCAGCCTGGTCGCTATGGCAACAGAGGAGGGGTAATGAACACCGAAATGTTGGCAACACGCATCCTGACAATTGTGACATAATTCAGGTTATTACAAGGATGCAACTATCAAAGCAGCAGAAGCGTCATTACCTGCAGCTCATGTCGGCAGAAGGCTACGCTGCACATTTCTCTTGGCTGGGCTGCTGGGAGGAAGGAAACATGAGACACACACACACATGCCTCGCTTTCTGCATGTAAAATGTGTGTGTGGTTTAAAAGCCAGTGGTTGGCTGGTTTTCCGGACATGATGTGGTTGAAGCTGTCACCGTAATGGAAATTCATCGCTGTAGCTATGTAAATCGGGTTTTCTGCCCGTGCTGAATGCATTAGTCCTCCTGAGATGTTTGCAGCCGGAGAGCAGGGCTGCTGCAGACTAACTGTGAGCTGCTAACACACGGGTGGAAGATTAGCTTTTGTAATACTCGGGTTGCATGTACCGAAAGTCATCCATCTTCTGAGTCAACATTCTCGGCCTGGTAAAGCACCTGAGCAGGGCTCCGAACCAGCATAGGTAAGGGAGACGCACAACGGGAAGGGTGTGCGCGTGAGTGACACAGGACCCTTCTCCTTCTCCTGTCAGCACGACAGGCTGCCTGGGTCCGGCTTTCTGGCTTGCACGCCCACCTTTGTGGCAATGCGCGGGTGTCCTGTCTGAAAACCGCTGAGGCCGGTGGGTGACTTCAGTGCCTTCTCCTGGAAATGCAGTGTGTGATTTCTTAACCTGATCTCAGAGGGGAAGATGTAGCAGAATTATATAGTTTATAAATTTGGGGTACATACATGTCCACTACTCTTTAACTCTGCATTGACACATGTAGAAAGTTGTTTCTTTTTCTCAAATGTGAACTCAAGTAATGAGTCAGCTTTTTCCCTTTTGTCTTGCATGATCATTTCTTTGTTTTGTTTTTTAGTTAAAAAAACAACAACAACATTGTCATATGGTCTTGGGATAAAAATATTTACCTAAAATTTACTTATTAAAACTGATGCCTTATGAACACACAAGAGTAGTTTTTTAAATTGAATTTTATTTTTTATATCCCAGAAGGAATATTTTATGTCTTTGTGCTGGTTTTTCCCAATTTCCCGGGGCAGCTGAGAATACTGTTTTTAGTAGTTGCTGATGCTGGTTTTGGGAAAAAAACCCGGTGACTGTGGAGTGCCAGGAGGCATTTTTCCAAGTTCCATTACAGTCGCTGTCTTCCCATGTGGGGCGTGTGACTTGAACGGGGCAGCGGGAAGCTTCGCCTCCAGGGTGCCTGCTGAGCGGGCCAGGACGGGATGGGTGAGGGACAGACCACACGTGAGTCATTGGACCGATAGTTGAGGTGCTAAGTCAAAGTTCTTCCTCCACCTGTAAGTAAACGGGAGGTGCCGCGTGGTCTTGTGCCTCAATTCTGCGCCCTGCCCAGAGGGCTAGACAGCAGCTTTCTGAGGAAGTGGCTTTTTGGACGGCCTCAGACTGTGGTGCCTGAGAAAGTGAAGCAGGCGCTGCGGCCGGGGGATGTTTGTTGTGTGTCTTCTGGGCTCTTCTTCCAACCAGAGGAAACATTTCTGGAGAGTGAGAGACATAGTTGCTTTTTTTTCCTGTAACACTTAAAAAATAAAAAGAACATTTGGGCTGAAAGCATAAAAATAACTACAAGGAATTTACAGTGTGACAAAGTAAACTACCTAGGGGTACAGTATTTGTGAGGAGCATTTTTTGTGTGGCTTGGTGGAAACTAGCCTGAAAAAGTGGGGGGTATTTGAGCAGCAGCAGCTGGGTGAAGATTACCTAAAAAGCAGGAGCGATCATCTCCCCTCAAATCAAGTGTTAATGTAGAATCTTCGATTTTAGGGAAGTTGTTTGGTGGCTTCAGAACCTTCCCCTTGAAACATATTTGTAACAAATGTTTAAGGAGATTTGAACGTGATTTCTTTAGCTCTTTCAATTGTGTATGTGGAGAGACTCTGATATTTTGGTATATTTATCAGGCTGCTTGATTTGCAGGATATTAAGAAAAGTGCAAATCCTGTGAAAATCCAGTTATTTTATGTTTAACATGCATTTCTTCCGTGTGCCACCAAAATTACTTTTATTTTTCTGCACAAAACAAAACAAAACAAAATGAATGAATAATAATAGAAATAAAAGAAGACAATAAAAGAAACAGGAGCAAGAGGCTTTCGGTCATTGACTTGCTTCTGGTGCCGGGTTTTCGAGGCAAACAGAACCAGCAGACGCAGTTTCACTTTCTGGCTCTTGGCTTCTGGGCTGGGGTCTCAGGTGTGGCCGCGGGCAAGGCAAGCCGGCCAGCTGCCGGAAACAAGCCAGCCTCAAGGACTGTCCCCCCACATCAGAACTTAAACTGAAAGTTCAAAACAGCAGTGACTTTCAAAATGTTAAGTCATATTTGCATATTGTAGAAATTGAAGCGATGCCCCAAAGTACAAAGATAGACTTTTTTAAGTGTTTACACCTTAAAAGATGTGAAAATCACAAGCAAATAACGGTCTCCTAAGGTGGTGGCTTTATTTATATTTTCATCTCAAATTTGGATCTCAAATAGTTCAACAAATTTAAGGAACCCTCTTGAAGTTCCCTAAAGTCACAAGGAATGCTCGGAGAGAATAACCTTTATGTATATTCGGGGAGCTGGATTTTAGAGTGTTTTGAAGGTCTGTTTACAAACCTAAATAGGTTTGGCATGGCTGGAGATCACATCACCCACATACTCGCCCTCCTGGCACCTTAGAAGGGACACAGGTTCAGGCTTGGCACTTGCTTCTTGCAGGGCGCTGTCTGCCCGAGTCTGTGCCCCTGGGGCCCTCAGTGTAGCACTGCACCAGGTGGCCGGGTCTTGCTCACCGCAATCCACACGTCCTCGGGAAAGCAGGAGGCGACGCTGACCCTGGTCGGGGTGGAGGCCTCAGACCCCGTGCGCCTGCAGTTTCGTCCCATGCCACCTCTCTTGCACCCAGCCTCCCCCTTCGTCTGGGGGTGGTGTGGGACAGAAGAGGAAAGGCCTTCTTCCCCTCCAATTAGCCAAGAACGTGAACTTCGGTGTAACGTTCTGGAGATGACGTCTGCGGAGGCAGTCTTTCCTGGTGTGGGCACACGTGTTCTTAATTTTGGTGGGCAAACTGGACATTTCTGGGAAGGAGGCAGCTCTGTTTGCCTCCTTGGACATCTTACTTCTTAACCCAGAGATCTCCCAAAAGGCTAGTTTGAGATTTATATCATGTTTTTAATGTTTTTATTGCCTTCAAAGGCAGACAGGTGGGGAGAGATGAGGGGGATTAGAAACAGCCCCTGGGAGAAAAATCAAATGGTTTGACACATATATAATGTAACAGAAGCCCCTACTGTGCCTAGTAAATTACTCTAAATTTTAATTAATGAGTCACAAAAGCCACACCATAAGCTTTAAAAATTACCCCTTTACCAATAAGGTGATAATTAACTCTCACAGGAATTAGCAATTCTCTTAGCCCAGGGCAATATGCAACCTCCTAAATTCTCTGGAATGCTGCCAACGTTAAACAATTGGTCTTTTGGCAAACCTACTGGATTTTCACTCGAACATCTATTGTGACATTTTCCAACACAGTTCAAGACCGTCGACATCACCCGAATCGTGGCAGAATCTCCAGAGGGAAAGAGGCTGAGAGTGTTCGGATCACATTCGAATCTGTCGGCTCCTTTCTTCATTCTCCTTTTCTACCTTTCCCCGCAAACCTCTGCGCTCCCAGAGCGCCAGACTCTGGTCTCTGCTGCAAGTCTGCCGCAGATCGCCGCGGCGCGTCCTGCGTGTGCCCGGGTGCCTATGCCGAGCGCGAGCCTGGCCCCACACCCACGGTGCTCTAAGGGCTTTTCATGCCTGCATTCTGCTCAGTTTCAGTTCTGACCGGGGTTCTTCCTTCATATTTCTGCAAATTCTCACCCAAGGCTTGTCAGATGCAGAGATTTAGATTAAGAACTCAAAGCAGAGGAGTCACTGGCAGAAGGGCCATTTTGGGTGCATTTACAGCTGCTTGAAGTTTGCCTTATTCTGACCTCTGCGCACCGCTCGCTCAGAAGGCAGGCCTCTCTTCCCTCTAGGGCCTTCAGAGGTTGGCACTGGGGGCTCTGCTGCTCCTCGCCCTGAGGCCCAGGATGCTGGGGACGTGGCCCCCTGCTGGGTGACGCTGGCCGTTCTGACACAGTCGGGAACATCCCTGCCTTAGGGGCCCACAGAGGCAAGTGGCCGGCAGGCAGGGCCTGTGCGCTCTGCAGTCACTCGGCTCGTCTCAGGCACTTGGCTGCCACCGAGGGGACCAAACCCCCCCTGCTCGTCGCAGTGATTACTTTGTGGACTCGTATTTTAGGACAGAAAGGGATTTATTCCCCAGTGGCAGTCCTCACTTGGTATTAAGCTGAAAAGTGAGCCCGCCGAGTCTGTGTGACTCCCTCGATCAACAGGAATACATCAGATCCACAGCGCAGGCTCTGGGACGGCGTGGTCACCGTCTGACAGCTTCCACGGACGGCCAGCCCGGCGCACGGCCCGTGGGGCCTTCCCTTCCCTCTGCCCACCAGCTCCGACGTGTCGCACTGAGTTTCTATTTGCGAGGCGGCCGCGTGCACTTCTTTTTCAGCAGCTGCATTTATCGAGGAGATGAGCGGAACCTGGTCCCCGTGACCCGTGTGGCCGAGTTTTGGGAATGAGGGCGCCTGTAGGCAGCAGCTGGGCCAAGGCGCAGTGGCCTTCCCACCAGACAGAAGCAGAGAGTGGAAGTGGCTGTTCTGAGGAAATTAATCACCAGGGAAAAACAGGGTCCACGCCGTGCTTTGAAAGGTGGTGATGTTTCCCCGAGACTGAGGACTCACCTTTTGGGAGCTGAATATCTGGTAACAAAAGACCGTTGCGCTTTCCTCTCTCTTGGCTGAACATTCCGGAGCAGCAACCCTCCTTCTTCCGAAACAGAACCATCTGGCTGGAAAGTAACCCTAGAGAAACACGCAGCCCTCCCTGAGGACGGGCACCGTTGGGAGCGAACGCTGAGCCCGCCGTCCCAGCCTGGCCAGAAGAGGTGGTCCCGAACAAAGAGGTACTGGGCCGAAACCCAGCGGAGAGAGCCTGTTCCGTGCCCCTTCGGAGGAGGGCTTGGCCGTCCCTCTCCCTCCGCATCCCGGTGCCGTTCAGAGAGGAGTGGTGGCATCTGGTCCTCTATGGCCTTCAGAAAAGAGGCTGATCCCTTTCCTTCCCAGTCCTGGAGGAGTCAGCACCCTCACCACTGGGGAACCACAGGGACGTCAGGGCTTCATCGGACAATTAGCTGTGAAGATAAGCTGCTCATCCCAGAGAGAATAACTGGAAAGTGTTGTGTGGGGCACTGGGCTTAGTGATAAGTAAAGAACTCCAGTGAGCGAATATATTCCTGCCATTTTTCAGTCCTGAGGAGCCAGTGGTCCTTGGTTTCTGATGTTGGCATCGCAGCCTGTGCCCGGGGACATGGCTGTGACATTCGGGGGCCAACCCAGCAGTC